CTTTTGGAAAGCCAAATATATTACACGTACTGGTTCCCCTTTATCTATCTTATCTATTACCTCCTCAAAGAATTATAATAAGTTTTGCAAGCATGAATTCTCCTTCATGAAGCCATTCAGACTCTGTTGATTATATTGTGCATGTTTAAGTGCTCTGCTGTTACATCCTTTGTAATGGACCTTACATTTTCCCAACAACAGATAGTAAATTAATTGTCCGAGAGTTACCTGTGTTTTTTGTCACCCTCCTTTTTTGAATTAAGGTGTTACTTTGGCTCTTTTCCTGTCCTCAGGGATGTTTTCAGAACCTAAGGATTCTTGTAATATTACGAGATAACACAGTGTGGAGCTGGAGGAACACAGCAGGCCAAGTAGCATCAGAAGAGCAGGAAAGTTGATGTTTCGGGTCGGGACCCTTCTTCAGAAATGGGGAGCGGGAAGCTCAGAAATAGAGAGAGGAGGGGTGGGGCTGGGGAAGGTAGGTGGGATGGTGATAGGTGAGTTCAGGTAGGGAGTGGTGAGGATTGGTCAGTGAGGTGGGAGGAGCGGATAGGTGGGAGAGAAGATGGACAGGTTGTGTCAGGTGAGATTACTACCAGTGTATACATCACCTCTGTAGCCATTTCCTTTAACAACTAGGATTGTAGCGTGAGAGAGATTAAATGATCTTGAGGCTTTAACAGCTAATAAGATTTGTACTGTTCTGCATGCTTATTTGCTTAATATTTATAAATATGTATAATTAATCAATTCAGAGCCTCACTTAATCATGTGTTGATGACCCTGCAATAGCTTGTGACAGTCCATAGGGGGCACTAATGACCTAGGTTTAAGATTCTAAGCTAAGGGCTGAATTTCCTCAGTACCTGAAAGATGACGACAACAACAACAAGTCAGTTGGGAAAATACAGCAAAATTGGAAACATTAGATTCTTGACATTGAGAAGAGACCCATTTTTCCACTCAAGTTTTGAAAAGCGAGATAAAAATCTCAGAGACAGCAAGAACTGCAGATGCTGGAGTTAGAGTCAACAGTGTGGAGCTGGAGGAACACAGCAGGTCAGGCAGCAACAGAGGAGCAGGAGAGTCGACGTTTCATGTCGGGACCCTTCATCAGGACTGCGGAGGGGGAAGGGAGCGAGAAAATAAATAGAGGGAGGAGGGGTGGGGCTGGGGAAGGTAGGTGGGATGGCAATAAGCGGATGCAGGTGGGGGTAGTGGGGATTGGTCAGTGGGAAGGGTAGGGCAGACAGGTGGGAGAGAAGATGAACAGGTTGCGTCTGGTCAAGGAGGCAGGGATGAGAGGGAGGGTTGGACGTGGGATGAGGCCGAGGGTGGGAAGATTTTATAACTGGTGAATTCTATGTTTAGGCCATCGGGCTGTAGGCTCCTGAGGCAGAATATGACATGCTGCTCCTCCAGTTTGAGTGTGGCGTCATTGTGGCACTGGAGGAGGCCCAGGATTGATATGTCACCCAGGGAGTCGCGGGGGTGGGGAATGGAGTTAAAATGGTTAGCAATCAGAAGGTGTTGTCATTTATAGCGTACAGAGTGCAAGTGCTCTGTGAATCGGTCACCGAGTCTGCACTTGGTCTCACTGATGTAGAGGAGGCCACATCGGGAGCAGCGGATACAGTAAACCAGGTTGGAGGATTTACAGGTGAACCCCTGTCAGATATGAAAAGTTTGCTTTGAACCTTAAAAGGAAGTGAGAGGGAAGGTGTAGGAGCAGGTGTAGCACTTCCTGTGGTTGCAGGGAAAGGTGCCGGGTGTGGTGGGGTCAGTGGGGAGTGTGGAGCGGATAAGGGAGTCACGGAGTGAGCAGTCCCTCCGAAAGGCGAATAGGGATGGGGAGGGAAATATCTCTTTGGTGGTGGGATCGGATTGTGGGTGGCTGAAGTGACAGAGAATGATGGGCTGGATGCGGAAGTTGGTGGGGTGGTATGTAAAAATCTCGCTAGTTAATGAAGAGAGGCATTTACATTCCATTAGTAGTTAATGTCATCTCATTTATACATGATACCCTTTCCTCCCACTTTGGAGAACAAAAGTAGATAACAGCAATTCCTGGGTCATAGCAGAACCCTGGCAGCTCCAGCTCACCCTTGTTCCTCTGGGCATCGATGTTGGCCAGCCATGCCCAAAATCTCAGGGCACGCTCCATGGACAGTGACTGCTTGCATTCTCTCATCAACATGCACCAGCCTCACCATATTATCATGGCACATCTCTAGACTCATTTAGAGGACAATTCACCACTTTACTTCACGTTGCAGCGCATCAACATCTTTCATTGCAATGCTGCTGCCAGGCCATTTTGCACACAGGCACAGGCACCCAACTCATTGGAGCAGCGTGTACCTCAGGGGTTTTCTCTGGCTGCTTTGGCACTCGTTCACTTTGTGCCAACTTGGATGCTCACAGCACCTCTGCCTTGCCTTGCTTTGTGCTTTGCCACCTCATTCATAACTTGAAAGTTCATTACTTCTATCTTGATTTAACACAATCACACAGCTCACCCCCTTTTCATTATTGTCAGTAGTGATCAGTCAAGAGTGCAGACATGTTGTTCCATGGCCATGTTAATTTCACACCTGTAGTATGCGGCAGCAGTTTACACTGCAAACATACTGCATTGCTTCAGCCAAGTAACCATGTCAGGGTTTCAGTAACCCTATCACATTTACAATCTCCTACTTATGCTGTATGACTGGTGCTGCATACATTGGGATATGGTCCCCTATGTCAAAGATCCATGGCCCTCCTTGTCAAAATCTTCCATGTCTCACTATATGCAAGACTATGCTAAACTGTCATTTGTGTGTGATACAAATGCTGACTGCTCCCATTGCAAAGCATGTGTTCTGTTTCTGGTATTCCTTACATAGCTTCATTGAAACCTTGATCAATTGATCCCGCCACAGCAGAGGTCATTGGCCACACTGCAGTGAAGGTGCAGAGAAATTGAGGAGGAACAGAGGTACCAGCTGTCCCACGACCAGCAGCAACCCCCCAGCTGCTGCTGAACAGCCTCCACACAAAGAAGTTGCAGATGAAGGTTCCTTCAGGTTGCAGCGAAAATATAGTTCCTTCAACCTGTGCAATAGGCTTCTCAAACATAGCTGGATTCCCCCAAATGCAGCGCACGGTAGATTGTACATAGGTGTGGAGCTGGAGGAACACAGCAGGCCAGGCAGCATCAGAAGGGCAGTAAAGTTGAAGTTTCAGGTAAGGGTCCCAACCTGAAACATCAACTTTCCTGCTGTATTGTTTCTGATTCCAGCATTTGCAATTCTTGCTATCTCCTTGTATAGAGGTGTGTTGAGAGCAACGTATCATAATATGGCTGACTTCTTCAAAAGAACTGGATTCCATTTTATCAATGTACATGTGTGACCATCTGTACCATATTTTGGAAATCTGCACCAGGTACTCTGAGAGCTGTGATCCCTATATCCTTGAGAGCTCTCATGTTCCTGTTTCATTTCAAGGAGGAGTTGCCCTTTAAGGATGCTTACTGGGAGACAAGGACTACCTTCTACAACAACGGCCAATGACCCCACTACGTAAACCCTAAGTGAGGTTGAACAGAAATACAGTGTTGCCCATTCTTTTACCGGGATCTTTATGAAGCAAGTGATAGACCTCCTGAAGCTGAGGTATTGATGCTTTGACTGGTCTGTAACACCTTGCAGCAGAATATTGGAGCAAGCAAGAGGGGATGTGATGAATTCTGAAGAGCTGGGAGAGCAGTAGTAGTCTTCTGAGGACGTAGATGAGGACATCGTACAGAGCTACATCACCTTCACCTTCACAATATAAAACAAGCACAATAAGCCAGACAGGACATAATTGACATCCAGTTCCAATAGACGTGAGCATTAATTTAATGTAAATGTGGTGATGCTTGAAAGGTCTCTGTTTGTTCCCAAAAGCAAATGCAGCTTATTTTTACTGGTTTGCTTTTTCTTTGTTTTTGTGTTGTTCAATTAAAGTTTACATTTTCAACTATTTGAAGACTTTCCAGTATATGATGCTACCATAGAACAATGGCAAGATGTTATGCCAGACTGGGTGTTAGGGATAAAGTAGCATTCACTCAGACAATAGAAGTCATCAACGTGCCCTAAAAAGCTTTTCTTTCTCATTTCCCTCCCACTGTGTGGAGGGCCATGGATTATGGCTGACAGTGGTTGATGCGGTGCTCGGCTGGGCTTCAAATATGGCACTGGTGTTGTTAGTCCAGGAGTGTCCTGGCAGTGGTGAGTACTTCCACTGTTGGTGATTGTATGATAGCATGGGCACAGTGCCAAAAAGGCACGCTGCTTATGTAAAGGTAAACAGTATAAAATTGCATCAGAAAACTCAAGGGAGCTCACAGAGGGAAATCCTCCATGCCACTCCCCAAAATTGAAATTCATCAATTTTTTTGTTTAGTTAATTCTTGGTAAAATTCAGCTATGAAGGATATAACTGCTTGGGGATAAAAAAAAGTCTCATGGAGGACAAGAAATCTGTTTTGGGTGAATAGTATTGTGATTACTGCAGGAACAAGTGCAATAAAATGCCCTAAAAATAAATGAGTCTGCTGTCAGCACATTTAACTCCATAGAATGAAATATTTAATGCAGTTTTTTTGTTTCCAGAAAATATGTAATTTCCTTAATCATATCTAATATGAATGACACTATTCTGATAAATAATAATTCAAGCCTTTCTTAAGTTTTCAAATACAATTTTGTCATGAAAGCAGTATCTATTTGAAATGGTTTCATGAAACAATGGCTTCATAAAACCTTGCTTTAAAGCAGGATGAAATTTAAGGGCTTAGATTTCAAACATCAAGAAGCTGCTGATATTTACTTTCCTTTCCAGAACTAGTCCTGTTGTAAAAATTAAACACTCAAAAATTCAAAAGGATCCCTTTCACAATGACAAAAGGAATCCAGTGAGTAGAAAATGCTCTTGACTCTTGATTTCTTGTTTTGAAATTTAGGATTTGCAGATCCTTATTAGAAAGGTTTAACAAACACATCCCTTCCTTTGAGCCTCAGATCATGTCAGCACAGAGTAACATCAACCTGGGACCATCCGCCAATTCGTTGTAAGTTCTTTTTAATATTGGAATAATTGCCTACTACCTCAGGAAAGATTTAATTTAAAAATTCATTTACAAATCATTATTTACTTACAGTGCCAAACCAACAGACTTTGACTTTCTAAAAATTATTGGGAAAGGGAGCTTTGGAAAAGTAAGTGATTTAATTTAATACTACTATGATTTTCTTTTTACGTTTCATTTCTCCTGCAACACAGCTTTGAACCTGTTTTGGTGTTGGGCACAAACACGTCTGTCATATTGCACCATTAGTTCTGGTCGCCTCATTACAGGAAAGATGTGGAAGCATTGGAAAATGTGCAGAGGAGATTTACCAGGATGTTGCCTGGAATGGAGGGAAGGTTTTACGAGGAAAGGTTGAGAGAGCAAGGGCTTTTCTCTTTAGAACAATGAAGGATGAGAGGTGACTTGATAGAGGTGTACAAAATGATCACAGGTATAGATAAAGTGGACAGCCAGAGACTTTTTCCTAGGGTGGAGGTAGATATTATGAGGGGGCATAGTTTTAAAGTGAGTGGAGGTAGATGTAGGGGAGGCGCCAGAGGTAGGTTCTTTACTCAGAGAGTGGTCGGGGCGTGGAATGCATTGCCGGAGAGGGTAGTGGAGTCGGCCTCATTAGGGGCATTTAAGCTGCTATTAGATAGGCATATGGATGATAGTATAAGGTAGGGGTGGAGGTTAGACAGACCTTAGGTTTAGGGTAAAAGTTCAGCACAACATCGTGCTGTGCTGTTCTATGTTCTATGTTCTAGTGAAACACGTCTTTTTACGTACGTTCTATATAATTATCTTATTACATTTAGTAAAGAATAAACGCAACCTTTTGTTAACTCATGAAAACCTGCCTAAGTTGACTCCTTTTAAAGTATAAATTAATTTGGATCTGGGAGACAGTTATCCACAGACAGGAGATCCTTTTGTAACTTGCTATGACCAACTGCATAGGGTAGATGGATAAAGATGGGACAGTGAGTTCATCTCTCCTCACTGACGGGAGTTTGGCAGTTTGGGGTATCCCATCTGGAGCAGTATTAACCTCACCAGGGATCTGGTCGTGATCCTGATAACTCATTGAGTATTGACCTCTCACAGAGGAGTAAATCTGCAACACTGCAGGATGAAGTTGAGAAGAAATACCCTAATATTGCACATGCTTGTGCAGTGCTCCAACTAATAATGGCAGTGGCTACAAACTCAGCCTTTTCTCTTTTCTGTCAAGGGTCATTTTTTTAATTGATTGTGCTATATTCGGGCCTGATAAAATGAACAGTTTATGAAAACTTTCATCTGTCATTAAATATGTTCAAATTTGTTCATTTAAACATAGTCAAATGTAATTTGTACTTCTCATTTAGTCAATATAATCTTGGAACATATGTAATTTTCATATCCTATGTGTAAAGAGTGGCAGACAGAGCTGGGGCTTTAACAGTCTTCAATATCATTTTAGGTTCTCCTTGCTAAACGTAAGTCCGACGGCAGGTTTTATGCCATTAAAGTCTTGGAGAAGAAAATGATCCTGAATAGGAAAGATGTGAGTATAAAAAGGCCTCAATGCTTAACTCCTTGTGTGTGACAGTACCTTACCCTTAGAATTTTTAATTTAATAACATGTCTCAGAGGACTCAGAGGACAAAAGTTTTATAAGATAAAATGTGACACTGAGACGCAGAAGGAGGTATCAAGATGGATTTAATGTTTCCTACATGGGTCCCGTATTTCTCCAACCTGTGGGGAACCTGCTTTCTTTCTGTGGGACAGGCCTGACTGAATCAATGCCTCTGCAGGGGGAAATTATAATCGGCCAGCATCAGACCTTCACAGGGATTTAATTGATTGATTGATTGATTGACTATCACGTGTACTGGACTACAGTGAAAAGCTTTGTTTACAAGCAGTACAGGCAGATCTTAGTAAGCAAGGATGTACAGATCAGCGGTCATAAAAAGACATAGACAGAGGCATACAGGTTACGTTGCACAGGGCATGCACTAGGTGAGATCAATGTTAGCAAGATCAGCATTATTTGAAGCTAGAGAGTCCATTCATCAGTCTAACAATGGCTAGGAAGAAGCTGTTCCTGAACCTGCTGGTGCATGTGTTCAGGCTTCCGTATCACTTGCCTCACAGAAGAGGTTGTAGGAGATCATTACCCGGCTACAATGGGTATTTGATGAATGAAAGGTTGGCTTCTGTGATGGTCTGGGCTGTGCACACAACCTTCTGTAGTTTCTTATGGTCCTGGGCAGAGCAGTTGCCATACCAGGCCATTATGCACCCGGACAGTTTGCTTTTGATGGTGCATCTGTAGAAGTTGGTGAGGTCCTTACGGACATGCCAAGTTTCATGAGCCGCCTGAGGAAGAAGAAGCGTTGTTGTGCCTTCTTGACCATCGCATCTAATTGGGAAGTCCAGGACAGGTTGTTGGTTATCGTCACTCTGAGGAACATGAAGCTCTCCACCCTCTCAACCTCAGTTCTGTTGATGTAGGTGGGATGTGTTCTCATCCTTTCTTTCTGAAGTCAATGATTAGTTCTTTAGTTTTGCCGATGTTGAGAGAGAGGTTGTTCTCATTGCACCCTGTCACCAAGCCCTCTATCTCCCTTCTGTATTTTGACTCATCGTTGTTAGATATTCATCCAACTACAGTGGTGTTGTCAGTGAACTTGTAGATGGCGTTCATTCGGAATTTGGCAAAACAATCATGCGTGTACAGGGAGTACAGTAGGGGGCTGAGGACGCATCATTGGGGAGGAACCGAACAGCAGAATTCCTGTCCATCTAGAGCTGCGAGTCAATCAGATCCCAGCAGCTCTCCGATGTCAGCAACATCACCAGGAGCAGTGGCTGTTGCCAGGGCTAGTCCCAGCAATTATTGCTTGGGCTATGGGCTAAGGGTGAGATGTGGGTCTTGGACACCAGGTCAGGGAGAGAGTTGGCTAGAGAGAGAGGTTTAGAGGCAAGTATAGGAAGTCATTTCGGAATGATTATTCTCCCTAACCCTCTTATTGAATGCCTAACAACAGGAAGTCTTAAACAGTGTAAATATGAAGTCTGGTCAAATGTAACAGCAAGGAGTGGGATCACAACTGAAGCAAAATTAGTGCTGAAGTGGTACAGAATCATGGTTGTTGAAGTTCCAATAGGGGTTGCAAGAACAAGACTTGGGAAGCATCAATTTTGTTTGATCTCTTTGGAAAGGAAAGAGAACTAACACTCTTTCCATGTGTTTTCAATTGAAACACTAACCCATCTACTTTGTAGATTAGTGCTTATAAGATTAGTTTACCGAAGACATTATCTACTTTCTTGACTTTAAACATGCCTGTGGTCTATCACAGCTCCAAGTAAACCTTGTAAACTTTTTAAACAAGAAAGGAAATAAAGATTTACATTTACATAATGTCTTTCCTGGTCCTGGTCAAAGCTCTTTATGGGCACTGAGTACTTTTGAGGTACTTCAAATGTAGGGAAAACTGCAGCTAACTTGTGCACAGAAAGAGCTCAAAAACAGTAATTTCATAATGACCAGGTAATGGGTTTAGTGATTTGGGTAGAAAGATACATAATTGTTGAAAAAAAATTCTGTTGTGCTTTTTGTTATCTAATTAATTCCATTCCTCTGCTTTTGCACAAGAGCTCTGGAATTTTTTTAATGCTTTGGGATATTTTACATCCACCTGACGGGGCTAACAGTACCCCAGTTTAATGTTTCATTTAAAAAAAAGACACTTTTTTTCCTATAAATATACTTTGATAATCAAATATCTATAAGTACATTACAAAACATTTTGAATCAGATGTAGTGGAAAATACAATAGAAGACTATTTTTCTCAACTGAATACTTTGTATTCTTAGGCGTGTCAATCCATTTGCAAGATTGTGGCATTAACTAAATGGGAGATTAACTATATACATTCCACTACAATCATATAGCCTGAGGTGGTTTTATAAGGTATCAGCACCACAGTGTACTATGACTGAAAGGCCTCCCTCCTCCCCACCTGCTCTTTGCAGTGGCTGCCCAATGATTAATGCATCCATAGCCTGAAAGATTATATACGTGATGATGCAGCACGGCCTCAGCACTGCTCTGAAATGTCAGTCCACATCTGTGTTCAAGTTACTGGAGTTGAATCCACCACCTGAGAGCGGAGAGTTATAGTCACTGAATAACTATCCTTTGACTTTGGCTAGCCATTTCCCTGCACCATTGCCAAAATTAGAACTCCATGAAGTGGATTCACAATATTTGCCCTCACATCCCCTACCCCCAACAAAACTAAAGACAGAATCCCCCTTGTCCTCACATATCATCCCACCAAACTATGCATCCAATGCATCACTCTCCGCCACTTCCGCCACCTACAATCCGACCCCACAACTAAAGATATATTTCCCTCCCCACCACTATCTGCCTTTCATAGGGGCCACTCTCTCCGTGACTCCCTCGTCTGATCCACACTCCCCATTAACCCCACCACACCCAGTATCTTTCCCTGGAACCACAGGAAGTGCTACACCTACCCCTACACTCCCCCCTCACCTCCACTCAAGTCACAAAACAAACCTTCCACATTAGACAGGGATTCACCTGCACATCTGTCAAAGTGGTCTCCTGCATCCACTGCTCCTGATGTGGCCTCCTCTACATCAGTGCGACCAAGCGGAGGCTCGGAGACCATTTTGTAGAGCACCTGCACTCCGTTCACAAAAAATGACAATACCTTCCAGTCATGAACCGCTTTAACTCCCTCTCCCACTCCCTGGGTGACATGTCAATCCTGGGCCTCCTCCAGTGTCACAAGGACACCACCAGCAAACTGGAGTAGCAGCACCTCATATTCCGCCTCGGGAGCCTACAACCCAATGGCCTAAACGTGGATTTTACCAGTTTCGAAATCTCCCCACCCTGGCCTCAACCCATGTGCAATCCTCCCTCTGATCCCCGCCTCCTTGACCTGACACAACCTGTCCATCTTCTCTCCCACCTATCCACCCCTCCCACTTCACTGCCCAATCCCCACCACTCCCTACCTGCACTCACCTATCACCAACCCACCTACCTTCCCCAGCCCCAGCCCTCCTGTCTCTATTTATTTTTGAGTTGTCTGCCCCCTCCCCATTTCTGAAGAAGGGTCCAGACCTGAAACGTCAACTTTCTTGCTCCTCTGATGCTACCTGGCCTGCTGTGTTCCTCCAGCTCCACACTGTGTTATCCATGAAGTGGATGTTTACTTACTTGAAAAGGTGTAATATGCATCCACCATTTACAGTAGATATAGACAGGGATATCACTAACTTGTGGAGGTCTTTTATATAAATATATTAAGATTGAGGCTGATATTATTCATTATGAAATATTCTTTACCTGATTTCCAAAACACATTGTGAATGCAGATAAAAGCAATGCCACATGTATAATGTAGTAATTAATAGGTAGTGTTAAAGTGGTGTCTTTTATATTTACAAGATCTGATTGTCATTGCTAGAATTATTTTAATAGGATCAATCAGGTGAATTCACTGTACAAGTGAAAACATGACTGGTTAATAATATGAAGTAGATTTTTTAGATCTAGATCTGCAAGCAGTAAAGTGAAGCTGGGTTAAAATTTGCATGAATTACTGTGAATGTATAAGTACATTATTAAAAACTACTGACTAAAGGGCAGATATGTCTTTCCTCTTTGGTTGCTTGTTCAGTTTCTAATGGTGCCTATTTTAAATTAGCAAAAGAACATTATGTCCGAACGCAATGTGCTACTGAAAAATGTCAAGCATCCTTTTCTGGTTGGGCTTCACTACTGCTTTCAGACAACGGAGAAACTCTATTTTGTCCTGGACTATGTGAATGGTGGTGAGGTGAGTGGATGATCTAAGATTGCAGTTGCTTCATAAACTTCGTGTCTCACTTTGATATTTAACTGCTGCGCCCACTCGCCTCTCAGTTTCCGCAGTCTTATTATTTACGCTGGTCTCTGCTCAGCACTGCAAATCAAGTAACACTGCAACAGAATTGTGCGTTATGAACACAGTGATTGGCTTCTAGAATGTGCTGGAGAATGTTGTCATCAGCACTGCTCAGAGATGACGCATTGACTTTGGCCAGCTATTTCCCTGCACTATTGATAAAATTAGAACTCCATGAAGTGTTTGTTTCCTTATCTGGAAAGGTGTAATATGCATCCATCTTTTGCAGTAGATATAGACAGGGATATCACTAACTTGTTGAGGTGTTTTATCCAAATATGTTAGGATTGGGGCTGATATTATTCATCACAAAATATTCTTTATCCTGATTTCCAAGATCCATTGTGAATGCACATACAAGCAATGCCACATGCCTGGTATAATGCAGCAATTAATACGCAGTCTTAAAGTGGTATCTTCTATATTTATATGATCCAATTGTCATTGCTAGAGTTATTTTAATTTAGTTGAATGGCTGCAGAAGCAGTCATATAAAAGCAAAATGCAACAGATGCTGGAAATCTGAAACAAACACAAAGAATGCTATAGAAACTCAGTAGGTTTGCCAGTGTCTGTGAAGAGAGAAACAATTAACTTTTCAAGACAAGTATGACTTTTCTTCAAAACAGAATACTGGACTCAGAACATTAAGTCTGTTTCTCTCCCCACAGACCTGCTAAGACACTGCCAATCTACTGAGTTTCTACAGCATTATCTGTGTTTAACAATCCATTCAATGCCTTCATCTGATGCAGTTGTGATGCCATCAGTAATGGATTTCTCTGGATAAGAGTTCAATGGGTGGATGATGGTCTGACTTGGCCACAGTCACATCGGTAAACTGAGTATTAAAAATAGACCACCAAATGACCCATAAAGCAACAGCACATAGCAACATCTACTTTGGCAAATTCCATCCTTTTCTTTCATGGGTCCACTATGTACTTTTGCTGATTGTTCCCAGTCCTATCTTGTCTCTTCCTGGGTATAGCATTTGTTCCTTATTTCTAAAGTTACTTGTGCAGCCACACTTCCACTATCAGCCACAAAGTGGCAATAAAGCCCCAAAGAAGCAGTCAAAATTGAATTATTTCTGGTTTGAATCCAACTTTATTCTTTGGATATATTTTAAGGCAACTCCTTGTTAATACTTTGGGAGACATTTTAAAAGCATTGTCCCCATTGAATGTGCGCAAGGGGCTTCACTTCAAAGACTTTTTTTTTATTCATTCATGGGACATGGCCATTGCTGCCTGGCCAGCTTTTATTGCCCGTCTCCAGTGGCCCTTGAGAAGGTGGTGGTGTGCTGCCTTCTTGAACCGCTGTAGTCCAGGTGCTACAGGTTGACAGGTAATGCCATTAGGGAGGGAATTCCAGGATTTTGACCCAACAACAGTGAAGGAACAGCAATATATTTCCAAGTCAGAATGGTGAATGGCTTACTGAGTGAGGGGAACTTGGAGGTGGCGGTGTTCCGACATGTCTGATGCCCTTGTCCTTCTAGGTGGAAGTGGTCGTGGGTTTGGAATATGCTGCCTGAGGATCTTTGGTGAATTTCTGCAGTGCATCTTGTAGATAGTATATAATGCTGCTACTGAGCATTGGTGGTGGGTGGAGTGGATGTTCGTGGATGTGGTGCCAATCAAGCTGGCTGCTGTGTCCTGGATTGTGTCAACATTCTTGAGTGTTGTTGGAGCTGCAGCCATCCAGGCAAGGACTCTTCCAGGCAAGCACCCATCCGCTCCACCATTCAATGAAAGCATGGCTCATTTGATAATCCTCAAGTTCACTTTCCTGCCTTTTCCTCATAACCCTTGATTCCCTTACTGATTAAAAATCTGTTCACCTCTGCCTTGAATATACTTAATGACCCAGCTCTCTGCAGTAAAGAATTCCATTGATTCACCACCTTCTAAAAGAAGAAATTTCTCCTCATTTCTGTCTGAAATGTGTGACCCCTTATCCTGAGATTATGCTCTCTAGTCCTAGACTCTCCCATAATGGGAAACAACTTTGCTGCATCCACCTTGTCAAGCCACCTAAGCATCATGTATATTTCAATAAGATCTCTCATTGTTTTAAACTCCAATGAGTAAAAGCCCAACCTATTGTACCGCTTTCCGTGAGACACCCACTCTATATCTGGGGTCAAATTACTGATTCTTCTCTGGACTGCCTTCAACGCCAGTAAATGTAGATTATGTATATGGAATTGGAAGGAAACAGGATTTTAACACCAGTATAGGACTGTGTGGAGCTTGGAGAACCTGCAGATGGTAGTGTTACCATATATCTGCCGCCCTGGTCCTTCTAAACGGTAGTGAGTGAGCGTTTAAATGATGCTGACTAAGGAATCTTGGTGAATCTCTGCAGTGCATCTTGTAGATTGTACATACTACTGCTGCTTTGTGTTGGTGTGGACAGAGTGATTTATGTGGATGTGGTGATAATTGAGTGGGCTGCTTTGTCCTGGATAATATCAAGCTAGATGTCTTGTTAGAGCTGCACTCCATCACACTCCTAACTTGCACCTTGTAGATGGTGGACTGGCTTTAAGCAATCAGGAACTGAATTACTTATTGTAGGATTCTTACCCACTTACATCCCCTTGTAGCCACAGTATTCATATGGCTAGCCCACTTCAGTTTTTTGGTCAATGGTAACTTCCAAGATTTTGCTAGTGGGGATTCAGTGATGGAAATTTTATTGAATGTCTAGGTGTGATGGTTAGATTTTCTCTTATTGGAGATGGTCACTGTCTGGTATATGTGTGGCGCAAACATTACCTGTCATTTATCAGCCCAAACCTAGATATTCTCCAGGCATTGTTGCATTTAAACATGGCTGTTTCAGTATTTGAAGGGTCACAATTGGAGCAGAACATTGTTCAGAGGAGATTGCACATCGTCACTTTTTTTATGTTATGATGGAGGAAGGTCTTGATGAAGCAGCTAAAGATGCCTGGGCCTAGGACACTACCCTGAGGAACTCCTGCAGAGATGTCCTTGAGCTGAGATGACTGGCCTTCAACAAACGAGAATTACCTTCCTCAGGGCTAGATTTGACTCCATTCAGTAGAGGATTATCCCCGAATTTTTTTTTATTCTAGTTCTGCCACACTGGGCCAAATGCGGCCTTAAGGCCAGAATAAGACCAGGAGCTGAGCGGCCCTTTAGAAACCCAAATTTAGCATCAGTAAGCAGGTTATGGCCAAACAAGTGCTGCCAGTTAGCACTGTTGATGATCCCTTCCATCATTATATATGATTGAGAGTTGACTGATAGGGCAGTAATTGGTTGGGTCAAATATGTTCTGCTTTTAAGCACAAAATTATGCATCTGCATAATTTTCCACATTACTAGGTACATGTACTTGTACTGGAACAGCTTAGCCAGGGGCATGGACAGTTCTGAAACATGTGCTTAGTACAATTGCCAGAATAATAACATTGGGAAGAAATGTTGTATTAATAAAACACATTTTTATGCACATAATATTCAACCAGTCACACAGGACACAAATAAAAATAGGAAAAGAGAAAAAGTAAGTTGAAATTTTCCATACTCTCCTGATGTTATTTTAAACCTGTCATTTTACTCAATCTATACCCTTGGCAAAATGGTTTCAATGCAATTTCAAAAAGAAACATAGAAGAATAATAAGAGAAAATCTTAAGAGTCTCTTTACAGTAACTTTTCTAAATAGCTGACTCCTACTGATCAGAGTCAAGGGGAATGGGGCAGCTAAACATCAAATCAAAGCAACGCTGTTCGACAAACATCCAGAAGATTGGCAAAGTTTTGAGAGTATCTCACTGTTGAAGGTTCACAATAATCTGGAAAGATGGTGCCCAAGAAATTCTTCTGCCAGGAGTGTAGGTTGTGTACTATATATTGACCAGTTTGTCCACAGCATTTTGATCCAGAGGGCCATTCATGGAAGCTTCATGTAAAAGTACATGACTGCCAAAAACAATTTAGACATTACAGCCTCTAAAAAGTCTTTTTTAACTGTAACAGCTGTTCTTCCATTTGCAACGAGAGCACACTTTTCCAGAACCAAGAGCTAGATTCTATGCATCGGAGGTGGCCAGTGCCATAGGATACCTACATTCACTCAACATTGTGTACCGGTGAGTTCTGCTACAAAGGTGTCTTCTGTAACACTTGTTATAAAATTCCAAAGTGTATATGGTTAAACATTCAATCTCACTTTGCATTCCAGGGACTTGAAGCCTGAAAATATTCTCTTGGATTCTCAGGTATCAATAACAATCTTCGTAGCTTTTTGTCAATAAGATAGGAATAGATACAGAACCCTACAAATCCTGGCTTTTGTTATATTTCAGGGCCATATTGTACTGACAGATTTTGGGCTCTGTAAAGAAGTAATAGAACCAACAGGAACAACCTCTACTTTCTGTGGGACACCTGAGGTATGTAGAACAGTACAGAGTATAGAATAGGAGAGTAGGTGGCTATTCATCCAATCAAGTCCACGTTGGCTATTTGCAAAAGCAATTTAGCTAGTCCAATTCCCAGGGTTTTTATACATCAAATATTATGTTTATATTTTAGATTGGGTTTAATTTGGCCTGTAAGATTTAAATAGCCAAAGCAACTCTGCAAGGATATAATACATAAAGCATAAATATTGCAGGTAGCATAAATTTGGGCATCCAACCTGCAATGATTATCTTAATTAAACAAAGAACTGTGGATGCTGGAAATCAGAAACTAAAACAGAAATTGCTGGAAAAAATCAGCAGGTCTGGCAGCATGTGTGGGGAGAAAGCAGAGTTAACGTTTTGATTCCAGTGACCCATTTTCAGAGTGTTGCTTTTGTTTTTGCTAAAATGTTTATGGATTTTACAGCACAGTCTAAATTGAATATTTCACACATTTCTCCATTTTACTATCTGCTCTGTCTTTAAACAATTGGCTGAATCTTGTCTATTACCACTCTTCCAATATATTACCTCAATTGGAGTATTGGTCGTATTTGTAACAGTGAAAATTGAGTGCTAGCTAAATTGTCTCATTGCAAGTGCAGGATTATTACAGTTCAACATATGAGTATTCGTGCATACAGTCCAACTTTAAATTGTTAGTTGGATTTCTAATTGGTGGAAGAAAGTTAATGGAATATTTTTATTTCATTTACTTTTGTTCATCTGGTGTGATCAATTCACTTTCAAATAGTTAACACTTGCAGTTAACACAGGCAAGCAGCGAATTGTCACATCTTGGAAAATATATGATCATTTATTCTATATGTATTTTGTTTTGTCAGTATCTTGCCCCAGAAGTTTTACAAAAACAACCCTATGATCGCACTGTTGACTGGTGGTGCTTTGGGGCGGTAATCTTTGAGATGTTGTTTGGATTGGTAAGTAGCACACTGGAAATTTACTTCATGAACCAGAAATCTAGACCCAAATCTCAATGTAGCATATTGGGGTGTGTTTCTAATCTTGCAAAATCAATACAATATCAAACAACACAATTCTTGTTTGCATGTAATGATAGGAACTAGCTGTTGTGAGGCAATGGCAGTTTCTGGACCAGAAGGTCTAGGTTCAAGTCCAACTTGTACAAACATGTTACTTAAAGTAATTTTTGTGGCAAAGGGCTTAATTCTGAGGCCTATACCCTAATAGGAATAGAGCAATAGCTCCCCAGGAAGTGGCAAGGAATGAATTATAATCCCAGTTTCACATTCCTAAACCCATAAAGATTTTACCCCACACCTAACATGGATAGGATGGCATACATGTCTGGAGGCTTTGCTGGAAATTTGTTCTTGTGACATCCTGAACACAGGGCATCTGACCACATGACACCCAATCATATGACATCTGGTCACATGATGTTTTAATGCAAATACCTCATAAAGGCAAGGTCCCCTGTGGTTGGGTATTTTTGCTCATGGTTTTACATCAACAGCTATTAGATGGTAAGTTCCAAGAACCAAGAGGCAACTCCATGAGATGGTGTTTGATAGTGCCACGGAAGGTAACTTACACAGTTTGTGAGGCCAAGAGGAGTTATCCTTTACGGAAGGAATCTGCTGTCCTTTTCCCAAGCAGATCCACATATGACTTCAATATATCTACAGCAATGTGGATGACTCTTAACTGCCCTCTAAAATAACCTGGCAATCCATTCAATACATCAAACAATGACAGAAAAGTCAAAAAGAATAAAATTAGCCAACTACCTGGTAATGACCTAAGCAGCAGAAATGACAAAGATACATCCAACCCCATCAACCTAAAAGTACTCCTCCCCAACATCTTGGGACTTATGCCAAAATTGGGAGAGCAGTTCCAAAGACTGGTCAAACAACATCTGACATATTTATACCTTACAGTAAATGTCCCAATGTCACCATTCCTGACTACGTCCCATCCCACAGAAGTGGCAGCACAGTGATGTACAGTCAGGATGGAGGGTCTTGGTTGTTCTCAACATTACTCCAGATCCCAGGAAGTCTTACGGCATCAGGTCAAACTTGAGCAAAATATCATCCTGTTGATTACTACCTTCTGCCCTTCTTCAGTTGATGGATCAGTGTTCATCCATATCAAAGAAGCATAGAGAGTGTCAAGGGTACAGAAAATGGGAGAATTTAATATCTACAACTCTCAGCCCAAGTTGACTGGTCCTAAAGTACGGATCCACTAAATTGGGCAGATACACCCAGATTTTTATCAAACTATCTGTTGAAGATTCATCTAATCATACACTACAGGTAGGAGTAACTGCCGTACAATCAGTGTAGAGATGAAGTCCCATCTTTATACCAAGGAAACATGCATTGTATTATGTAGCACTATCCACAAGTGGGATATAGAGTAGATGTGGTAGCTCTAACCTGGGCTTCTTTGAGGCCCTTTGGGTGATCAGCAGCAGCTGAATGAAATTCAACAACAATCTGAATAGTCATGGCCCATTATCTCCTCCACTTCACCATCATCATCAAGCCCAGGGCCCATACTTAGTTTAATGCAGACTGCAGGAGAGCATGCCTGCAACAATATGAGGCATACATAAAAATGAACAAAAATCTAGTGAAGCTACAATGAGTGGCTATATAAATGCTAAGCAGTGAAAGTACACAACAGACAGAGTAGCATGATACCTCAAACAACGGATCAGATCAAAGCTGTACAAATCCTGATTCAGTTTTGAACATTGGAGCATAATTAAACAATTAATGAGAGGGGCAGCCTGCATAAACATTTCTACCCTCAAATGATGACAGAGCACACCAATCATGCAAAAGACAAAACTGAAGCATTTGTAACCAACTTCTACCAGAAGTGCCAAATGGATGATCAATCTCAGCCTCTTCCTGATGTCTGCAGGATTATATCTATATCACAAATTTGATTCAATCCATAGATATCAAGAAATGAATGAAGGCAATGAATTAGCAAAGACAATGGGTCCTAACAACATCCAGTTACATCCTAGACTTGTACTCTACAACGAGCATTAATTCAAAACTGTAAATAATTGCTCAGTCATGTCCTGTTTATAAGAAGCAGGACAAAACCAATCCAACAAATTGCCATCATATCAATCTACTCTTGTGTTAGTTAAGTGATGGAAGGTGTGATTGATAGCGTTATCAAGTGATGCTTGCTCAGCTACGACCTGCTCACCAATTCTTAGTTCTGGTTCCACCAGGACCACTAGATTCCAGATTCTGTTACAGCCTTGGTTGAAATGTGGACAATAAAACTGAATTCCAGAATTTAAGTGGGAGTGACTGCCCTTGACATCAAGGCAACATTTGATCAAGTATGACATCAGAGTGTCCTAAAGAAATTGGAAGTATATGGGAACTGGGAGACATCTCCACTAATTAGAATCACACATAGCTAAAAGGAAGGCGGTTGCGGCTGTTGGAAATCAATCACCTCAGTCCCAGAACGTCGTCGCAGAAATTCCTCAGGATAATGTCCTTGACCCAACCATCTACAGCTGCTTCATCAATGACCTTCCCACATCATAATATCAGAAGTGAGGAAGCTTGTCGATTATGGAATCATGTTCAGTTCCAATCACAATTCCCCAGGTACTGAAATACTCCATTGCTGCATGAAGCAAGACCTGGACATCATACAGGCTGATAAATAGCAAGTAACATTCAGTCTACACATGCCAGGCAATGATCATCTCCAATTAGAGAGAATCCAATCAATTCCCCTTGACAGTCAATGGTATTTCCATCATTGAATGCCCCTCCAACAACATCCTAGAATTACCACTGATCTGAAACTTAACTAGAGCAGCTATAAAAATACTCCGGCTAAAATATCACATCAGAGGCGGGAATTCTGCTACAAGTAACTGATCTTCTGACTCCCCAAAGCCTCTCCACCATTAGCTTGGCACAAGCTTTGGGAACTGCATCTCCAACCCTCAAAAATCTCAGCATCTTCCAGGACAAGGCCGCCTGCTTGATTGGTACCCCATTCACTACCAAAAATTAATTCCCTCCACTGCACAATAGTAGTTGTGCGCACTATCTACAAGATGCAAGTTGCCAAGGCTCCTTCGACAACACCTTTCAAACATTTGAATTCTACCACTTAGAAGGACAAATGCAACAGGCACAAGGGAACACCACAACTGGCACTTTCTCCTCTGAACCACACACCATCCTGACGTGGAGTTCTATTGCTGTCCCTTCAGTGTCATTGGATCAAAAATCTAGGATTACCTGGACTACCGCAATTCAAAAAAGCTCACCACCCCTTCTCAAGGGCAATTAAGGATGTGCAACAAATGCTTGCCTTGCCAGTGACACTCAAATGCCAGGAAGAAATAAACAAACATAAAGCATGACGGGTGTTTGGTTTGTCTTAATTACTTAACACACCACCCCATTCCCCTTAGCCCAAGATTCAACAGGCACCACTGTCGCATACAGTGAGTTGCACCAAGATGGTTTGGGCCTCTTGCTGCTGCAATTAGTGATGCCTCCAATACTGTGAATCAGTTTACACTGCAGTATTAAAGACTGTACAAATAAATTGAAAATTTCAGACCACTCTGTATAGTGCTATGATAATTGTTAGAATAAAAGAAATTTGTTAAATATTCAGGTAATTTGAACACCATGAAATATATGTAAATGTCAAATTTGGGTCTAAAAGATATTTGGAATGAATAACAGGCATCTATATTTATTTTTTTCTCTTGTACAAGGTTCCTGAGTAAACTCTAAAGTGGCAAATTGGAGACTAATACAGACTTATTTCCTACAAGATTTGCTCAATGAGTTAATGTTTTGTTTTATGTGGACAGCCTCCCTTTTACAGTCGAGATGTAGCTGAAATGTACAATAACATTCTGCACAAGCCGCTCCATTTGCCTATGGGAATATCAGCAGCTGCTCGTGATATTCTGATGGGACTCCTACAAAAAGACCAAAAGAGAAGATTAGGAGCTGAAGCAGATTTTGTATGTGTGCATTTTGTCTATGCCTGAACGCTAATTACAAGACTATTTAACAGTGCTTAGAAAGAAAATTAATCCAAGATAGTCAGCACAGCACTATTCAAAACAAAGAGTCATAGAGGAATACAGCATGGAAACAGGCCCTTAGCCCAACTTATCCAAGCCAACCAGATTTCCTAAATTGAACCAGTCTCATCTGCCTAAATTTGGCCCATATCCCTCCAAAACTTTCCTATCCATGTACAGTACCTATTACTGTACCAATATACCACGTACCTATTCGTGTTCACCTGGGAAATTGGCCAATATTTGTCTAGTAATCAATAACAACAAAGCAAATTAAATGGACACAGTTCAACTCTTAGTTTTGTTGATTGTTGCTCTGCAGCGATTGGATTTGAATGTTAAGGAAATTAAGACTCTCAAGAAGTTTTCAACTTCACTCCCAGCAATTTTAACATGATTGATATTCTTCGTTTGAATCTACTTTTCATTCCTGTATAGAGTAGATTACATTTGTTTAGGGACTCAGTTAGGTTTGTTGGTTGGACAGCTGGTTTGCAATGAGGAATAGTGCCAACAGTGTGGGTTCAATTCCAGCTGAGGACAACATGAAGGTCCTACTTCTCAACCTTGGCCTTTGCCTAAGGCATGGTGACCCTCAGATTAAACTTACTCTCTCTAATAAGAGAGCAGCCCTATGGAACCTTTGTGTATTTACCTTTTTATTTTAGATTTTGTCATTAAATATCATTAGCCATTTTCTTAAATACATTTGGCTCTTACCGTAATTTCCACTGTCCTTCCTGGATTGGCTACAGCAAATTTGACCAGTTCACATGGAATTTCTGAATTCATCATTCATATAAACTGAAGACATAGCAGTACAAGTACTAATTAGGAGTAATCCACTAAACAAGACATCCCTCCTAAAAATTAGCACCTTGTTTTGTTTTCTTTGGTATCAATAACCTTCAGATAGCTGTTCACCTTTAATTCATTCAAAGATTGTTTTTTGGTTATTGTGATGAGACAGAATTGACCTAAATTACAAGCTCAATGAAAAAGTAACATTAAAGGTCAATCCCGAAACAAGGATTGTAAAAATCTCAGAAAAAAGTAGGGCCAGAGTCATGTCCAGTCCACTTAACTTACTTTGGTACATAATACTTTCTCTGAATAAATAAATCTAGCCTGATACATATGGCCTGTCTGTGGTATTTTTCCATCATTTAAAGAAATTGTAGATACTTTCTGGCACTTTACAAGTAAGTAGATTGTGATTCCTAAAGATTGCTGCAACCCATTCATTACATACATAAGCTTAAGACTCAGTTATAATAACTAATCCTAACCATCAGAGTTATTGGTACTGCTTTCAACAATGAGCAGACACAAAGTGTTCAGTATCAGTCCTAATCATATCGAAAAAGCCAAAAATCATAGTCATGTCAAGCTTTAGAATGAGACATGAACAAATAACCTTGCTTAATTAACTTCATTGTATTTTCTCCTGACACAGCTTGATATAAAAAATCATACATTTTTTTCATCCATTAATTGGGAGGATATCTACCACAAGAGAATTACCCCACCATATAATCCCAATGTGGTAAGCTTTCTGGTTTCTGTTGATTTTTATATTTGTGGAGCTTTACACTTTTGTTTTGTGTGTGTGTGTATGTATTTTACAAGAGGAACCTACTTATATTTTCATAAAATCACAAGTGATAGTTTATGATTAAGAACACAGGTACCTACTAACATTAAACATGCACGTAGTTAGAAAGGTGTACTTCAGTCTGATCAGTATGTCACAAGGGTAAGTTGGGTGTTCTTGTGTGTGGTATGGGGCGTATCCTTCCTCTTGAATCAACTCATCAGAAATAGGGTGCATTTTAATATTTGTAGTAGGAATGTTGCTGCATGGAATGGGCTCAGATCATTTGTTACCTTCCACTTAAAGTTTCAAAAGTAAATCAAATTCATGTAAACCTGCTTAATTTCGGTCAAGATGATTTTAGTAAAAATACAAAGCATTGTACCTTCTCACTTGTATCAAAAATTCCACAGTGGGAAGAATAAGTCACTCGAAGATACCAAGAACTGCAGATGCTAGAGTCAGAGTCAACACAGTGTGGAGCTGGAGGAACACAGCAGGTCAGGCAGCATCAGAGTAGGAAAGTCAATGTTCTGAAGAACAGTCCCGACCTGAAACGTCGACTTTCCTGTTCCTCTGAAACTGCGTGACCTGCTGTGTTCCTCCAGCTCCACACTGTGTTGACTGTGGGAAAAATGTTTTCCCAACCATTGGAAATCTGTAATAAGTGTATAATCAGATGTGATGGAAGTTAGTTGAGGTTTTTGTACAGGCAAGATTACTGATTAGGTTAATTTAATGTGTAAATTGGGATCAACGGAATCTGTCCATCATTCAATTGCTGAGAAAATTGAAATTGTATGGAATTTGCTGGGATGTAGCAATGTTGATATAAAGAAAGGTTTTGCACTTCTTGCTGCCTAAGGTCTGGAAGGGCTCTTCTTCAGTCTTCATTTCATTCCTTTTGTATATCAAGGTCTCACTTACAGGCTTCCTTTAAAAACTTTAAATTGCATATAATTCAAGGTGAGGTAAACTGCATTAACTGAAACTAAGTACAAGACCTATGGGGGGAAATAGGGGTGGGCAATCATGGAGGAAAACCATGAACATGTAAAAGTGCATTTTTAACTATTATTTTAAGATCTGGCCGGACAGTTCTGTGAGCTTTACCATGGCACTGTATAGATACCTAAAGCATTTTCACCATCAGAAAAGTTGCACCTCACTGAATAAACACAAGATAAAAGAAATAAACTTAATAACCTTTCTGATTTTTTTTACATTTGACAAGTACATTGAGCAAAACATTAACTTCACAGTTTCTGCTTTTTTCTTCAGGCAGGCCCTGGTGATCTCCAGCATTTTGATCCTGAATTTACTGAAGAAGTTGTCCCTAATTCGGTGGGACGCATTCCTGATTCAACAATGAACAGCCCAACCACAACAAGTGCATTTCTGGGATTTTCTTATGCCACTACAGATGATAATTTAAGATGGTAATTAAGTATTGTTTGATCTGAGAAATTTAAATGAATATACAAGCAAGAAGGTAATGTCACAGATAAAATGGTTTCAGCACAAAACCTTCTGGGTAAATTGGTGTTTGTTTTGAATTAAAAATGAATTGCTTACAGTCTTCTGAAGAGTATAGTGCTTACAAATATGTGTTTTTGAAACACTTCATAGAGTCAGTCTCCCATTTGTGTATCAATGTGCCTGTGCAACTCAATTCCAAACATGTAAGCACATGAATATTTACACGAGTAAAATGTCCCCATCTCTTCTGTACCTGTTTTGCTTTAATGTCATGTATTTCTTTGTAACGTCCAGCCTGTTATATACCTTGCTGTTTATTTGGTTTGTTTCAGTCATTAAAAGCAAACCAACACTTAAATAAACTGTTTAAATAATTAATAAATTAGTGATTTGAATTATTAACCTAATATTTATTTTAAATAATACATAACAAGCCTGACACATGCAGAACTGTAAATTTTAAAAAAGAGGTTAGATAATTTTAGATTAGTTCAATTTGGTTGAGCTCACGAAATTTAAAGTTTTAAATTAACCCCTTCAAATAATACGTTACTAAACTATACTAGATTTTATTATGTATTAAGTAAAACTGATCTAATAACTTAAAACTATTTAAGTAAGAAACAAAAGACACTTATATTTAACAGAAATACAAGACAGAATTCAAACTGAATCCAAAATCCTGCTCTTACACAGGAAACCTCTTCCTTCCTTGATATAAAATACGTAACATTCCTATACCAAAAATAGTCCCTGACTAGCTGACTCTGAAAATTGCCAAAACCTGGATAGAAGTCCCTGGCTAACTCTCCTGACCTCAAGTTTCTACATTTACAGAACATGCCAACTAGAGGTAATGAAACTGACCTTTAGATCGACCTAAGTTCTACTAGGGGTAGGACCACACTTCAGCTGCTTTCAGGATTCAAAAACCTTATTTCGTTGTCTCTATGGGATCACCCCACCACCTTACTTAAAAATAGTCATAGAAATCCAGTTAGTTAATGATTAATTTAGTTTGGTATTTCTATGCATAGATGATCTTTCACTTTAGAACTACGGAATATCTCATAATGCTCATCTTATCTTAAATTAATAATATCCCATTCATTACTATGTCTGTGTTTTTTGTTGCAAGGACGGTCATGGCTGATAAGAAGCTAGAGGCATCCCTTACCTCTTCCATTTCTACAGCATGTTTCTCATAGTCCTTTTTAAAAAAATGTCAGCAATTTAATTAGCAGCACAAATATAAGAAAATCCAACCTTTATCCATTAATGATGATTAATTACTTATTCTTCGATTACAGCAAGATTGAGGCCATTCTCCTAATACTTTTGTTGGCTGCTACTCATACTTTGTTATGTCAGTGGTTCAGGAATTGATAAATATGCAGCACAAAATGGCTTCTTTCAAAGACAGCGTAATATAATTGAAAATAATTGGCTTTTTTGCTTTGTTAGACTAATAAAACGCTTGTTTGTAAAAAGACTCCAAATATACCAGGTTAACTAAGTCTTAAACTGAAATCTAAAACACAGAATAACTTGCGTGGCAGCTACTTTAGAACACTGTTTTGCAACTTAGATCATCATTCCTTCAAAAGTAGCCTCTTACAGTAAAATGTCACATGTTTACTCCAGGATGTCTAAATATTCTGTGATTTGGGCAAGGATTCTTTTGAATTGGAAATACTTGTTCACAGTTTTTAATTCAATTTTTGAAATGAGTTAAATTGTTTCTTTCATTCAAAACTCTTTAAAGCATTACAGTAATTCTTTTTATATAAGTTATTATGTTGGTGGAATTGCCAGGAATGTGATGTGTTCTATTCTTTATCCTGAATTATAGATTAACCAATTGATTACAATGGTGCAATAGGTACCCACAAATCCAGTTATTACAGTTTTGCCTGACTTCAGGATTTCAAAACCTTTGAGTGAAAGGTAAAAAGTGTGCCTATTCCAATTATTTACCCATTTGCTCCCTATGAAGTCAGGTGAATATCAACTTGAAGATAAACTTGTTATTTTATAAATGTGTTGCAGAGGACCACATGTTTGTTTTGTTTCTTTGAAAGGTCAAGGGTGAAAAGCCAATGCAGATTAAACTTGAGACATATGTTTATTCGGTTCTTGTCCATGACTTCAAATCCCTTCAAATAATCGAAGGGCTTCTTAAAGCCTATGTGTGAGATTCAGAATCAAACTATAAGGTAGATTCGTGAAAATAAGGTCAAATGTTTGCAGAGTGGAAAGTCCTTATCCTGTATTAACTTGTCACTAAAAATCCATGAAGGAGGAATTTACTTTATGGTAGATGCAATTCCTTGCCAAAGTTTCTTACATAAAAATGGGTCCAAAGTTATGACCATAAATACACAAAAGAGTCCAATATCTTGAACATCAACCTTTTTGGCATGAGATAAACACTCTTAGATATATCATTTCACTGCAAAGAACACTGATGCTGATTTTAGAGTTATTGGAGTAAGGAAAGTTTTGACTTGACATTCTGGAACGTATGAATCAGAGATCATATATAAGAAAGTGTATCATATGACAAGGGTTTGCAGCTACTACTAGGCTGCAAAGCAAGTAGCTAATTCTCAATTTCAAGCAGCCAATCAATGAAACAATTGCTTAGTGTGTGAGTTTTGCTTTGCTGCGATTAAGAGGCTGGTAACAGTGGATTTATATTCTATAATGATTTTTACGTTCAATGTACCACATATTAAGACTCCTGTTACCAGTAGTCCAATTAGCTACGGCTGAAAACCTACACTTAAGAACATAAAATGCAGAAGTAGGCCACATGGTTCTGCCTGCAATAAGATCATGGTTGAGAAAGGTGATTTCATTGTATCCCCATATTCCTTGATTCCTTAGAATGCAAAAGCTGTATTGATCTCATTCTTAAATATATGACTGAATATCCACAATCCTTTGGGGTAGATTATTCCAATGGTACACAACTTTCAGTAAAGAAATTTGTCAATTCTCATTGGAGACTGAAATGGCCCTTACTTTGTTGTAAGACTATGACCCCTGGCTCCCCTCAGTCAGGGAAACAGCCTCTTGGTACTTAGACAAAAGACAAGGATTTTACAGGTTCAATAACCTCATGTTCTCTAAGCTCTTGAGAATGTAGATCCATTCTACTCAAGGTGTCTTCATAGAACAACTCGCACAGACCTAGAACTTCTATTGCATCATTTCAAAGTCAAGTATATCCTTCCTTAGATACAGAAACCAAAACTGTATGCTATATTCTGGGTGTAATCTCGCCAAAGACTTGCATATTTGTGGCAAGTCTTTCTTATTCTTGTACTTCAACCTTATTACTATTTGCCTTCTTACTTGCCTGCTTTATTTAGGTATTAACCTGTGATTGTGGTAAAAGAACACCAACATTTCTTTTGAAAAAAGCAATTGTTTTCTAATTATTTTCTAATTATTCCTACCAAAATTGAGAATTCATATTTCATCTGCTAGCTTCGTTCCCATTCATTTGAACTGTCTATATTCCTTAATTGTATCTTTACATTTTACTTTCCCACTGAGTCCTGTATGGTCAGGAAGCTTGGAAACATTTTGTTATTCACTCACAGGATGTAGGCATCACTGGCTAAGCCATTATTTATTATCCATCCTTAGCTGCCATTGAGAAGGTGGTGGTGAGCTTCCTTCTTGAACTGCTGCAGTCCATTTGGTATGGTTACATCTGCATTGCCATTAAGGAAGGAGTTCCAGGATTTTCACATAGCAATACTGAAGGTATCAATGATATAGTCTAGATGGTGAGGGGCTTGGAGGAGAACTTGCAGGTATTGGTGTTTCCATGTGTCCACTGCACTTTTCCTTCTAGATGGTAGTGGTTATGGGTTTGGAAGATCCTTTCTAAGGAGCCTTGGTGAATTTCTTTGGTGCATCTTGTAGATCATGCACACTGCTGCTACTGAGCTTCAGTGGTTGAGGGACTGAACGTTTGTAGATGTAGTGCCAATCAAGCTACTCTGTCTTGACTGGTATCAAGCTTTTTGAGTATTGTTGGAGCTGTACTCATCCAGGCAAGTGGCATCACACTACATTCAGTCCTTTCATTTTAGTCAATTATATGGATCAATAACAGCTTTATTTTAATTCATTCGTGGGATGTGAGCATCGCTAGGTGACTGGCATTTATTGCCTGTCCCTAGTTGCCCTTGAGCTGCTTCACAAGCACGGATCTTTGCAGAGCCCCATGATGCAAATTTTGACTGTTTTCTATCTGTTAACCAATCCACAATCAATGCTAACATTCAATACCCAATCCACGAGGCTGAACCTTTGCGTTCTTGTTAGTTGTTCAATGACCAACTTATAATTATCATGCTTTGGGCAAAGAGAAAAAGGTAAGCGAGGTCTGTTGAGGATCAGATTAGCTAAAACATATGTGTCTGACTCAATGGACAATTGAAGCCAAGTTGACTCTCTATAGCAGATCTAATACTTGATCAAAGGATAACGTGCAAACATTGTATTTCTCCAGTTATTGGTAACATGGAATGTTTCAGTGCTCTCTTTCTGTGGTATTTCATTTCCTGATTTTTGTCAAATGGCTGAAAATCTCTAATAAAATTGATAATTTTTATTCATGATTTTATTACAAATATATTGATCCTATAATGACTGAAGAGTCACTTGCACCAAAAAGTGACAATACTTGACACTCTAGTTCTTTTAAGTTTTTCATGCAGTTCATACACAACCTACACCACTGGTGACTGTTCAACTCTGCAGATAATCTATATGTAAATTGGTTTCTGTGAACTTTCATGAACACAGTAGGGCTGGAGATTATTCTTAAATTACAAATCCATGTGAAATATAAAGAATGAGCTTGCAGTGAAGTAATACTTTACCTGACATTGTAAAATCTCAAAGCGCTTCACAGCAACTGAAGAATTTAGAATTAGAATTAGATTTGATTGTCATGTGTACTTAAGTACAGCAGTATGAGTGCTGTGAAAAGTACAGCGAAAGGTGCACAATGTTGCCATTCCCGGCGCCATCTTAGGTACAAAGTTAAAATTTAGACATCACAGTCTTTCTTTGCATTAAGTTAAAAGTTCAACAGTCCTTCTTAAGTGCTTAGCCATACTGAGCTCACACTCCCTACAAGGGCTCAATTTCCTTCACTTTAGCCTGCTCTCGCCGCCACCGCAGATGCCAGGGGAACTTCCCTCATCGCCATTATTCCCACATTGGACTCGATCTCCAATTGTCAAAGTCCAGCTCCAGGCACCCAGACCCAATGAAGCCACAAAGCCATCGCTGCCCCTGCTTCCACAACTGAGCTCTCTCCAGAAGGTAAGTTCAATCTTCCCTGTGCTTGCCACGGACATCAGGAGACCTGGGCTAGTAGGAACTGCAGATGCTGGAGAATCCGAGACAACAAGGTGCAGGGCTGGATGAACACAGCAGGCCAAGCAGCATCATAGGAGCAGATTGGGCTGCCTGCTCTTGACACTCGCTGCCATGTGGGCTTGCTCTCCCTGCGATGGCTTGATCTCCCATGCGATGGCTTGATCTCCCATGCACAGGGCTCACTCTCCTCCATGCTGATCTCCTTTGAGCTGCACAAACTCAGTCTCCGTAGAAGGTATGTAGATTAATGTAAGAAAAGAAAATAGTGAAACCAAACAAAGCAGATGAGCTCCGGGCAGGTGCCCTCATGCCGTGCTGCAACTCTGCCGCCACCTTGGACATCTTTTGAAGTGTAGTCATTATATTTCTGCAGAGAAGCTAAATAACTAAATGTACAAACTACACAGATAATAATTTTTAATAATATTAGTTCAGGAATAAATGCTAGCCAGGTCAAGACAATGCCCTTGCCAGCCACAAATAATACGCTGAAACAATTTACTTTCTCTTTAAAGTAGAACAGCATCTTGGTTAAAGAAGCAGTTGAACAGTGCCTGACAGTGCAGCATTTTCTCCATAGTGCTCTTAATTCTTAGTCTAGTTAATGTGTTCAAATTTCTAAAATAGGGACTGTTGCCAAAAAGTTAGAGTCAGATAAGAACGCTCCCTCCAGGAACAAAAAAGTTATTTGCCTGTTTCCAACCTGAACAGCAGCAATTAATATTTTAAAGGATCTTTCTGTATGACAATATTTCGAATCAATCAATTGAGGTAATATTGTATAATACCATACTACTCATCCTGGTGTTTATGCTCCACATGAGTCATTTCTAGGTTAATACGCTTTTATTAATCCATGGGATGTGGACATCGCTGACAAGGCCTATGTTTATTACCCAACCCTCAGTGGCCTTAAAATGGTATTGGCAAATCACCTTCATGAACTACCAAAGTACATGTCATCATAAGATCATAACACACGGGAGTAAAGGTAGGTTGTTCAGCCCATCAAGTTTGCTCTGCCATTCCATGAGATAATGGCTGATTTGATAATCCTCAAATCCACCTTCCTGCCTTTTTCCCACAACCGTTGATTCCCTTCCTAATTAAAAATCTGTCCATCTCAGCCTTGAATATACATAATAACCCAAACTGTACAGCCTTTGTGGCAAAAAATTCCAGATTCACGATCCTCTGAGAGAAAAAATTACTCATCTTTGTCCTAAACTTCCTACAAGGGGAAACAATCTCTCACATCTACTCTGTCAAATCCCATAGAAAACTTGTATGTTTCAATAAGGTTGCCTCTCATTCTTCTAAACTCCAATGATTACGGGCCCACCTACTCAAACTCTCTTCATAAGACAAAACTTCTACACCCAGGAACAAATTTAGTGGACCTCCTCTCAGCCACCTCCAATGCCAGTATATCTTTCCTTAGATAAGGAGGGTATACGAGGAGCAGCACCAGGCATATCTAAAAATGAGATGTCATACAGTCATAGAGATGTCCAGCACAGAAACAGACAATTCAGTCCAACTCATCCATACCAACAATATATCCCAAATTAATCCAGTCCCATTTTCCAGCGTTTGGCCCATATCCATCTCAACGATTCCTATTCATATACCCATCCAGATGCCTTTTAAATGTTGTAATTGTACTGGCCTGCATCACTTCCTCTGGCAGTTTATTCCATACATGCATCACCCTCTGCATGAAAAAGGTGCCCCTTAGGTCTCTTTTAAATCTTTCCCCTCTCACCTTAAACTTATGCCCTCCAGTTTTGGACTCCTCTACCCTGAGGAAAAGACCTTGGCTATTTACCCTATCCATGCCTCTCGTGATTTTATAAGCCTGTATAAGGTCAGCCCTCAGCGTCCGATGCTCCAGGGAAAATTGCCCCCAGCCTATTCAGCCTCTCCCTGTAGCTCAAACCCTCCAACCCTGGCAACATCCTTGTAAATCTCTTCTGAACATTTTAAAGTTTAACAACATCCTTCCCAAAGCAGAAAGCCCATTTCTGAAGAAGGGTCTAGGCCCAAAACATCAGCCTTCCTGCTCCTCTGATGCTGCTTGGCCTGCTGTGTTCATCCAGCTCTACACCTTGTTATCTCAGATTCTTCAGCATCTGCAGTTCCTACTATCCCTCCCAGACCAGAATTGAACACATTATTCAAAAAGTGACCTAACAAATGTCCTGTACAGCCGCAACATGACCTCCCTACTGCTATACTCAATGCACTGACCAATAAAGGCAAGTGGACCAAACTCCTTCTTCACTACCCTGTGTACCTGCAACTCCACTTTCAAGGAACTATGAACTGTCACTTCAAGGTCCCTTTGTTCAGCAACACTTCCCAGGACCTTCCTATTGAGTGTATAAGTCCTGCCATGATTTGACCTACCAAAATGTAGCACCTCAAGCTCCCAAACAGGACTTGTATGCTAAACATCATAAGCAGCAAGTGATAGACACAGCTAATTCTGTAACCAACAGATCAGACATAAGATCTGTAGTCCTGCTTTGTCCAGTCACAAATGGTGGTAGACAATTATGGTGGAGGAGACTCCACAAATATCCCCATCTTCAATGATGGAAGAGCCCAACATATTAGTGCAAAAGATAAGACTGAAGCGTTCACAACAATTCTTAACCAGAACAGCCAAGTAGATAATCCATCTCAGCCTTGTCTAGTGGTCCCCTACATCACAGATGTCAGTCTTCATCCTATTTGATTCACTTCATTGACATTAAGAAACAGTTGGAGGCACTCGATATTACAAAGGCTATGGGCCCTAACAACATTCTAGCACTAGTACTGGGACTTGTGCTCCAGAACTTGCCACTCCTCTAGCCAAGCTGTTCCAGTACAGTTACAACACTGGCATGTACCTGACATTGTGGAAAATTGCCTCGGTATGTCCTGAACACAAAAATCAAGACAAATATAACCTGGCCAATTACCGCCCCATGAGTCTACTCTCGATCGTCAGTAAAGTTATGGAAGATGTCATCAACAATGCTATCAAGCAGCGTGTACTCAGCAACAGCCTGCTCAAATTGATAGATGGTTTGGACTTCGCCAGGGCCTCTCAGCTCCTCACCTTATTATAATCCTGGTTCAAACATGGTCAAAAGCTCTAAATTACAGAGATGAGTGAAAGTGACAGCCTTTGACATTGAGATCACATTCGATCAAGATTGGCATCAAGGACAATTAGCAGTAATGAAATCAATGGGAATCGGGAGTAAACTCTACACTGAATGGAGTCATACATGGCACATAGGAAGATGGTTGTGGTTTTTGGAAGTCAACGTTCTCAGCTCCAGGACATCTCTGCAGGAGTTCCTTGGGGTAGTGTCCGAGGCCAAACCATTTTCAGGTGCTTCATTAACGACCTTCCCTCCATTGTAAGGTCAGAAATGGGCATGTTCATCAATGTTTGCACAATGTTCAGCACCATTCACAACTCCCAGATAATGAAGCAGTCCTTGTTCAAATGCAACAAAATCTGGACAATACTGGGCCAACATACAACAAATAACATTTGTGCTACAGAAATGCCAGACAATAACAATCTCCAATAAAAGACAATCTAACCACTGCCTCTTGAAATTCAATGGTATTACCAACACTGAATCCCCCACTATCAACATCCCGGAGGTTACCATTGACCAGGTCTTACCATATAAAAAGCATGACTGATCAATACCCCATTGACTGCCTTCACCAATTATTCCCTCCATCACCTACAAGGGCAGATCAAAGGCTAGAAATACTGCAGCAAGTAACACCACTCCTGACTCCCCAAAATCTGTCCACCATCTACAAGTCACAAGTATTATCTACAAAACGCACTACAGCAATTTACCAAAGATCTTCAAAAAACACTTTCCAAACCCACAACCACTTCAATCTAGCAGGACAAGGGCAGCAGTTTATATGGAAACACCACTACCTACAAGTTCCCCTCCAAGCCACTCACCATCCTGACTTGGAAATATATTGCCATTCCTTAAGAGTTGTTAGGTTAACATCCCGGAATTCTCTCCCTCATGGCACTATGGGTCTACCTACAGCATGTGATCTGCAGTGGTTCATGGAGGCAGTTCACGACCACCTACTCAAGGAATGCTGGCCGCCAGCGACGCCCACATCCCTTAAGTGAATAAACAAAACAATAGTGAAGGAACAGTCAAATAGCATGTGACTTGTAAGGGGTACTTAAAGGCTGCTTGCTTTGTTCTTCTCAGTGGTTGAGGTTGTAGCTTTGGAAGGTACTGTTGAATAAGCCTTAGCAAATTGTTGCAGTGAATCTTGTACATTGGTGATGGAGGGAATAATTGGTGAAGGCACTCGACGGGGTATTGATCAGCCATGCTTTTTTAGTCGGATTGATATCATCCCATCATTATATCCTTCTTCCCCTGTCACCCTCATGTAACTTCATACTGTTTCTGTAAGTTCACTCACGGGTTGGCCCAAGTATGCGTCCAACCTCACCAGCTCTGGATAAAAACCGAAAGAACTGCGGATGCTGTAAATCAGGAACAAAAGCAGAAGTTGCTGGAAAAGCTCAGCAGATCTGGCAACATCTGTGAAGAAAAATCACAGTTAACGTTTCAGAACTGTGTTCTGAGGATGGATCACCGGAACTGAAACGTTAACTCTGGCTTTTACTTCACAGTGTTGCCAGACCTGCTGAGCTTTTCCAGCAACTTCTGTTTTTGTTCTCATCAATTCTGGTCTATTTCAACAATATATACATGCGTAAAAACAATCTACTTTAACTTGTTTGTGTGCCTTTTAAGATTCTCACACTCGTTCCTCGTTCTAACACAGTCCCACTGGTTACAATGCGGCAACAGGCAGCTCCATCACCGTCTTAGCAACAGGAGGGGAGACCCTTGGTTACCGGCCCAGGATGCAGCGCGGCTCCCTGGTTACCGGCCCAGGATGCAGCGCGGTTTCCACCAATGAAGGGGAGGAAGATGGTGGCGAGCTTACAGGTAGGAAGCTGCAGGCGGGTACATTTTGGGCTTTTCATTTGTGGCAATGCATGATGCTCCTTGCCATAAGGAATTTAGTAAACGTTCAGACAGTGAGAGAGACCATGTGCATCTGAAGTCTCCGTATCTTATTGATCATCTGTTGATGTGTGGTAACCATGGGGATTGTGGTGGACTGCGAGTTTGTCGATGGTTTCCAGTATCGCTTCCACCACTTAATTCGCTGTTAGTCGCTACAATAAGGAACTCCGCATTGAGAATGTTGCCTTTAGCTGATGATGTTTGGAGGGAAAAAGAAACTTTAGAGTGGAACGCTGTGTTTCGGCAACTTGAATTTACATAGCGCCATCAATCATTTTGACAGTTCTCTCCCAAGCAGGCGTTGTTGTTGTTGACTATTGAAGTTGTCAAGAGAGTTTCAGTGATTTCCAGTGTCGATTATACTATAAATTGCCTTCTGTTTGTATGTTGAAATCTTTTGTAGATGGGGGAGTGAAGTCATACATAATACACTTGATTATTCATTAAAATTTGTTTATAAGTTTGTTTGTCCCAGATGTGTTATTCATACCTGTAAGATTGTTATTCTTTTAAAAATGAACCAGCCATATGTGATCTATATAGATCGTCTAACAACAAGCAGAACCCAGCCTGCTGGAGCTTGTAAGCATAAACGCCTTTCTTCTCACCCAGAGATAGTAGAAACTGCAGATGCTGGAGAATCCGAGACAACAAGGTGCAGGGCTGGATGAACACAGCAGGCCAAGCAGCATCATAGGAGCAGAGAGGCTGACGTTTCGGGCCTCGACCCTTCATCAGAAAAGGCGGAGGGGAAGGGGGTTCTGAAATAAAT